GTGATAAGAGAGAACCAGGGGTGGGCTGCCTCTTGCACGCCCCCTGCTGGGGATCGGGCCGCAACCCCCAGGAATTGAACCCTGACCACTTGGTTCCTGGGACAATGCACAACCACTGAGCCACACCGGCCAGGCTAGCCACACTCCTATTTATATTTTTCATATTTAATTTTTATTTTCTTAAAAATATTTGTATTGATTTCAGAGAGGGAGGGAGAGGGGAAGAGATGGAAACATCAGTGATGAGTGAGAATCATGGATCGGCTGCTTCCTGACACCCCTCACTGGGGATCAAGCCTGAAAACCCCAGAGCGTGTCCCCACCAGGAATCCAACCCTGACCACTGAGCCACACACGCCAGGCCAATCACACTCGTTTTTAGATTTCAACAGCCATGCTAGCAGCAAAGCTAGAGGTGACATGAGCTCGGCCACTAGGAAAGGTGGCTCCTTGGCAGTTGAAGGAAGTAGAAGCAGTGCGGGCAGGGGGTGGGGGATGAAGGCTGGGGTGCCAGGATTCAGCACAGGGACTCCCCTAGGAGGAGACAGACACCCTGACACCAGTGTTGGAAACCCTAGAATCTAGGGCCTAGATTCATAAGGAATGGGGAGGCTTTAACAGTGGTTCTCAACCTTGGCTGCACATTGGAATCACTTGGGAATCTTTTTAAAATCCTGATTTCTGGGCCTCATCCTCCGGAAATTCTGTTTCTTTGTTCCTAATGTTGTGGTCTTACCCCGTAACAAAGAAACAGAATTTCTGGAGGATGAGGCCCAGAAATCAGGATTTTAAAAAGATTCCCAATACGATTCTAATGTGCAGCCAAGGTTGAGAACCACCGGGCTTTAAGAACATCAAGAACCCTCTTCAGCTGCATGGCCTGAGTGAAGCCCAGCTTGGGATTGCTCAGAGTCAGGCGAACGCAGGAACACCCGATGAGACCCCGGGCACCCTCTCCGGTCCTCTGGTAGCCTGTGCCTGCCCGTCCTCAGCCCCCCCCACATCGTCCTGTCACTCGGGAAGGTGATACGCCCCAGCTGAACAGAAACCTGTGGCTTTTAGGGACTGGTGGCTTTTGAAGATGTGAGCCTGGGTTTTGACCCGGAAGAGTGGGAACTGCTGGACCCTGAGCAGAAGTCTCTGTACAGACAAGTGGTGCTGGAGAACTACAGGAACCTGGCCTCCGTGGGTAAGCCCGGCCTCCGCGTTGAGAAAGACATGCGCTTTGCTGCTCGGTTGTGGTGCCGCTGACCTGTGTGTGTCTGCTTGGGTGCAGGCTGCAGGGGTCAGAGTGCAAGAGTCGAGGCCCGGAGATGGAGGGAGAGGGCTTTATTTTGTACCCCTGGGTAAAGGGCATCTTCACCTGTGACATCGGAAGCAAGCGTCACCGAGCCCACCCCTCAGAGGCCTTGAATTCCAGAGGGCATGGTGTCCGCGTCCAGCAGGTCAGGGGTGGCATTCCAGACCCTGACCCCTTCCATCTCCGGGGTTAGGGTGAACGTTTCCACTCTTAGGTCCGTAACTGGGTAACTCATCATGACTCCAAGCATCACTTTCCTGTTCAAAAGCAGGACGAAGGGATGGGCAGCCCCGGTTGGTGGTGTTTTCACAGCTGTTGTATTTAGCAAAAGAGAAAACGCCCTATGGCCCCTCTGACACGCTTCCCTTGATGACTTGCTGGCCAGAACTGGGTCCACTGCCAGCTTTACCAGCAAGGGAGTCCCAGAAAGCAAGCAGCAGCGGATAGTCGGTGGGCGGGTTATCATCACTGCCGTAGACCAGTGATGGCGAACCTTTTGAGCTCGGCGTGTCAGCATTTTGAAAAACCCTAACTTAACTCTGGTGCCGTGTCACATATAGAAATTTTTTGATATTTGCAACCATAGCAAAACAAAGACTTATATTTTTGATATTTATTTTATATATTTAAATGCCATTTAACAAAGAAAAATCAACCAAAAAAATGAGTTTGCGTGTCACCTCTGACAGGCATGTCATAGTTCACCATCACTGCCCTAGACCGAAGTCACATTCTAGGAGACCAGGTGCCACAGCAGGAAAGCATTTTCTTCCGAACGCCGACCCCAAGTCCTGTCTCTCTTCCCTTGGGCAGAATATCAGCTTTCCAAGCCAGAGGTGGTGTCTCGGTTAGAGGAGGAGGAAGAGCTCTGGTCGGTGGAGAGAGGAGTTCCTCAAGACACCTTTTCAGGTGAGAGCCAGGCACGCGGAGTCCTGGCAGGGAATGGGCTGACTGGACAGGGAACCGGGTGGGGTGCTGGGGTGAGTGTCTGCAGACACGCTGCCTTTTCCTTGGGCCTCAGGGTCAGGGTGTGCTGCTTGGTTGAACGTGAACCTGGTGCTGGTGGTCGGTTGGCTCCACTCATTGTCGACTACTCTCCCCTCCTGTAACCACCACTAACTGGTGTGTATCCCTGGCCAGGCTTTTTAAAAAATTATTAATCCTCACCTGAGGATATTCTTTCCATTGCTTTTCAGAGAGAGGGAGGGAGGGAGACATTAACTGGTTGCCTCCCACATACGCCCTATCCAGGGGTGGGGAGTGAACTGCAACCCAGGTGGGTGCCCTTGACAAGGAATCGAACCCTCAAGACACTCTAATCCACTGACCACCAGTTGGCGACCGCTGCTCCAATCACTGAACAACACCAGCCTTTTCTTTATGTTTACATATATGTATATGAATTCTGTCCCCTACTCAACTATAGTTTGAAATAAGTTCTTAACTTTATGGTCGTGGTTTCAGTATAGTATTTAACAATTTAAGATGTTCAACACTATTATCAAGCAGGCTTTGTGTTAGATCAGGAGTGGGGAACCTTTTTTCTGCCAGGGACCATTTAGATATTTATAACATCATTCTCAGGCCATACAAAATTATCCACTTAAAAACTAGCCTGCCATATTTGGTCAAACATTTGATGAACTCACCCCTAATGAATTGACAGGGCCAGACTAAATGATAAGGCATGTGGGCCAGACGTTCCCCACCCATGTTAGATGATTTTGCCCCGCTGTGGGGTAATGGAAGTGTTCTGAGTGTGTTTAAGGTAGGCTGGGTTAACTGCATTTTCAAGTTAGGATATTTTCAACTTAGGATGGGTTTATTGGGACATAACTCATCCCTAAGTCGAGGGACATTTGTATATGTTTATATTTTGGGTTGTTAACACCGGTCTGCTTCATTTTAAAAGATGCAGTATAGTTCATATTTAATTTTTCGCTTGATGGACATTCAAGTTGTTGGGGAAAAATTCCTTGTATACATTTTATTTTTTGGCACATTCAAGTTGGTTTTTCTTGTAGGTAGGATTTATAGAAATGGAACTTGAGAATCAACCAAGATGTAAGCTGAAAGTGGTAGCAACAAATTGCTGTGTAAAATTCTTTAAGCCCTGGCTGGTGCGCTCAGTGGCTAGAGCAGCCGTGGGCAAACTACGGGCCACGGGCTGGATCCGGCCCGTTTGAAATGAATAAAACTAAAAAAAAAAAAAAAAAAAAAAGACCGTACCCTTTTATGTAATGATGTTTACTTTGAATTTATATTAGTTCACACAAACACTCCATCCATGCTTTTGTTCCGCCTCCGGTCCAGTTTAAGAACCCATTGTGGCCCTCGAGTCAAAAAGTTTGCCCACCCCTGGGCTAGAGTGTTGGCCATGACCCAAAGGGCTGCAGGTTCAATTCCAGGTCCAGGCCACCTGTCTGGGCTGCAAGTTTGATCCCCCACCGATGTTTCTCTCTGTCCCCCTCCCTTACACTCTCTCTAAAAAATCAATGGAAAAAATATTGTCTGGTGAGGAGTAAAAAAAAAATAAGTTTTAGAATTTATTTTTATTCCTGTTCTAGGCTCTATATCATACATAGGTAGGTTGTACAAGTATTTTTGTTTCCTAGTTTCTTTGGGTTTTTTCTTAGCTGTTTTACTTGCCTGGCATTTCTTCATGTTGGGCATGTGTTCTTTCAGTGCCCATTTTCAGTCTAGGTTCTTCCACTTATTGGAAACACCCTGTTTATCATGAACTAGGTTTTTTGATTGATTGTTTTCAGTCCTCACCTGAGGATATTTTTCCCCCATTGATTTGGTCCTGAGGGGCCAGACCTTCCTGAGTGCACTTCAGCCTGACCTGGGGATTTCCTGACTCCAGCTGCCAGGGAGGATGAGATCAGGGCTTGTGCCAGCGCAGAGACCATGTGTAGGAGGCTCGGCAGGACACTCGCCCTGGCCAGGCATCAGGGGACAGCGCCTGGCTCCTCTGCCATCAGGTCCTGTCTGTGTGTGTCCCTGAGGGACGGTGCCTGGCTCCTCTGATGTCAGAGTCCCTTCACCTCCCGGCACCGTGGAAGCCCTCCTGTGTCCTGTGCAGGGCACTAATCACTCTGGTGGTGCCGTCTTCGACTTTGTGGTCTGGTATTTTATAGCTTCTGCAGACAGGTAGCACAGATGGGACCGTGCTCACATAAATAGTGGTGCGTCCTGAGGGAAAGGGCCTGGTGTAAAGGGAGCGTGGGGATTACTCCACAGGAGGTGGTCGTGGACACTGTGGGGTGAGATTTAAGCTGATTCCAGGGGTGGGGTGGGTAGGTGGGATTCTGCAGACTGTTAAGAGTGATGGTGAAGAGAGCTTCCAGGCATGGAGACAGAGTTTGGGGTGACAGATTGGAGCTTGGCATATTCCGGTGTGCCGTGCCAGCACAGCCAAGGGTGAACCTGAGTGGGGGCGATGAAAGGCTTACAAAAGACAGACATGAAAACAAAAGCTGGGTCTCGGTGGGACGCTGCCGTCTCTGATGGAGAGAGACAGCGCCCACAAGCCGTGTCTTTATTTTATAGCAGATGCCATGAGGCAAAATAGGGGCGTGATCAAGATGTTTACAACATTCTCGTTGGTTTCAACCCTACTCAACTGCATGCACCTGAACTCTATCCCTCAGACACGTGGGGCCACGTGTTCGGACCACAGGTTCAAGCTTACAGCTATAGCTGTTGGCTAATTGTGCTGGGAAGGCTTTGCCCTCCAAGCTGGGACTTGCACGTGGCAATGAGAGGACTGTGCCCTCTCCTCAGTCCAAGACTTGAACCTGTCCAAAACACTGTAGCAGTGCCCCATATTCGGGGAACAATATGTCACCCAATTGGGGGCAGGGGGCAGGTAACTGTCACGTATTGACATGCAGCTGAAGTTCAGCCGGTGCACAGGGCCTGCTGTGCAGGTGGTTTGATTTTCAATGAGGTGTATGTGGCTTTTCACAGCTCACTCTGGGGGCTTGTGAAGAAAGAACGGTGGTAGGCAGCTGGAGGCCGTGGCCGAGGTAGCATCTGGGGAAGAGGTGATGGTACTTAGCCTGAGAGAGCAGTCGTGCGGCTGGCATGGGCTTCTCCCCATTCAGAGGTGGACGCAGTGGGCTGGGCGAGTGACTGACCAAGGGGGCAAGTGAGGAACCTGCCGGCAATCCCCACAGGCAAAGGCTTCCAGGAACTTCCTGTGACTAGTCTTTGCTGCAGGTGTATTTACCATATAAGTTCTTTTTGTATCTCATTCTTAAAATACAATAATGAAGAACTTTTGGCATTGTGCAGTGACACGGGGAAGTCTGGTTAAGGCATAGGTTTTTGAAGGGTAGAAATAGAGGTTTTGTTTTTCTTATTATGTTGAAATAATTTTTTTGCCCTAGCTGGTTTGGCTCACTGGATAGAGTGTCAGTGTGTGGACCAAAGTGTCCCGCGTTTGATTCCTGTCAAGGCCACTTATAAATAATAATTTTTTAAACAAAAGAGTTACATGAAGAGTACAAAGAACTCCCTAGTAACTTTCACCTAGATTCAAGGGTTTGGAATTGTCCCATGTCTTGACCCATTCTGTTAATGAGTTATGAATGAGAGGGGACTTAGAAGTTTGTAAGTGCACCTTTCTGAACCTCAGGAGGCCCGGGAAATGTATTAAAAACATGGGAATCATTGGTGTTTGGAATGGCATGCTTTACTGTTAGAGGAGACAGCCATCTCTTGCAGTGGTCACTTTCTCCCAACACTGCTATAGCTGTGCTACAGCTCATGCAGAGGAGGGGAAATGAGTGGAAACCAGGCCTTTCTGACACAGCTCAGCTCACATGCCCCTCTGGCTCCCCATGATTGCAACAATGGCAGCATGGGCATTGGTGGAAGTAGAAGGAAATGGTAAACACTTGAGACAGAGGGCATTCATTTTCATATAGGTGCTGATTTGAAAAGATGTTGTGAAGATAAGGAATGTGGAGAAATATTTTGTTGTTGTTAATCCTCACCCAAAGATATTTTTCCATTGATTTTTTAGGGAAAGTGAAAAAGAGAGGAAAAGACAGAGAGAAACATTGATGTGTGAGACACATATCTATTGGTTGCCTCCTGAAAGAGCCCTGACCAGGGTCCTCACCAGGGAGAAGCCTGCAACCAAGGTACATGCCCTTGACTGGAATCTAACCCAGGACCCTTTGGTCTGCAGGCCAATGCTCTATTCACTGATCAAAACTGGGTAGGGCATATGTGGAAAAATATTTGATGGCACTCAGATCTTCAACCATCACACAATGTTCTTTAAAGAAGGTTTTGCCATATGTGTGGTTCGCGTAGAAAACTTGATGCATAATCTAGATTTAACCCTTAGGAAAGCAATGGAGTGAACACACTGTTTTGAAGGTCATGATTAGGTAGGACAGCTTGCAGGACATTTAACTTTTTTTGATTTGTCAAGAAATTAAGCAGAAGATGAGCCCTACAAATATGAATGTGGCAACTCTCAAAGGAGTACTAACATTAGTAGGAAAAAAAACATGAGAATTTTGTTGGAAGAGAAGGAAATCCTTCTCTACACATGGGAGACTACCATGCAGAGACTGAACGGAGTTAGACCTCTTCATGATTTTTCAACATGATGACTCAAACAGACGTAATCTGAGGAATATGGCCATAGCAGGAAAGGCTTCTGGTCTGATTCAGTCAGTTTTGAGAGAATTCATACTGGACCCCCCAAAAATCTAGTCATATGGAAAAAGTTCTAACATCAAGTAATTACATCTGAGAAATCTGAAACCATGGGGATGTGATTGCTGTGGGAAAGGCCCGAGGAGCAGCTCTCGCGTTCAGCCTCACAAGCCATACAGGAATGTGCCTGAGGATGTGGCCAGTGTTAGGAAGGCTTCAGGGATCACAGA